CCATGAGGTCGGACAGAGGGGCTCAGATTCAGGGCGAACAATGTGTGTTTTGTCCAGTATGAGGAAGTGATCCAGCTTTTAACCCTGTCGGAGATAACTAAAGGACAGGAGAGTCTGTCCAGTGTCCACCACGGCAGGACAGTCTACATAACTGTTTATCTTACTATGTACTATCTAAAAGAACTTCTACCCATCTGTCCGATATTGTCTGCCCAGTGTGCTTAAAGATATGAGGTAAAGGTCCAATGATCGAAAATATATAAAAACCCCGAGTCTCCCCGAGTGGCTGCTGCAACCTAGCATGCTACCATCTTGATTTTAGTACATGCACTCAATGTGTGGAAGATTTTGTGCTTTATTTCTACATATATGCATATGTTCAGTACTCGGTTGGATAATTGGATACCAACAAAGCTATACATTAAAGCAATATTGAAAAAGGGCAACTAAAATGTGCTTCTCCTTTGATCAGCAGGGTGAGGCGCTCTTGTAAGACTGTACCAGTAACCAAGCACGATTGGGAGGAACCACCGGGGGAAACCTACACCATGAGGGCGAATCTCTGTGAGGAAGTTCCACAGTCATAGAGGTCAGAGGTTATTGTTAAGAGCAGAGCAGCACCTCAGAGTTGTTAGCGATCCAGGAAACGTGAGCAGCTGGAATCCTGCTGACATTGGAGTGCTGTCTCCTGCCCCATAGCAGCAAATTAACTGTACTCCAGGTGAACTCGTCCTGAGGCACTGTACTTCGTCAGTGTCTTCATGGGCCCAGGCAGTGTATCAGCTTCTCCTGATGGCTGATTCATGCCTGTGTTCACAACCAGAATGCTGCCATTCCAGTCTGACCGTTCAGCCAGACATTCCAGTCATGGTACAGTACCTGGATCAGACAACACCCTGCTGGAATGCTTTAACTGTCATCATAAAGACAGACCTCTGCTACATTAGCATTACCTTTAAAGAAAAGATAATCAAACTCAATTTAACACATTAATGACTAATTACTATATTTAGCGTATAGTTAAAGAAAAGTTTTTTGATTCCAGATATTTATCATTTTATTTTCCTCAAAAAAATTAATTAATCTGATATTTTAAATATAATGTTAAAGGTCCAGTGTGTAACATTTAGGAGGATCTATTAGCAGAAATAGAATATGATATCCATAGATATGTTTTCATTAGTGTAATTGTTCTATCTACAGAATCTGTATCAAACGGGACAGAAGGGCTCAGATTAATATTATCACTAGTTCAACATATGGTTGGGCCTCACCACCTCAGCTGTGCATTTATTATGTTGTTCTACATTAGAAATATTTCACATACTTAATACACATTTGTGAAAACCAGAAATGTCTGATGTTTGAGGTAGCTGTTATGTTTTCTTGTATGTTTAGTCACGACACACCATTTACTTTAATTGGAACGGGTTTGCACATGTGGCAAATTCACTTCATTTTCCTGTAGACACCGGTGTTACGATTGCATTGTTAATGACTGTGAAAGTTATTTGTGTATTTGGATTCAGATCCACTCCAAAATGTTATCTGTTGTTCTTCAGTCCATGTTACACCCTCCCACCAAGTTTCATGAAAATCAGGGGCAAGTAGTTTTCCGTAATCCTGCTGACAGACAAACAAACAAACAATTGTGCCAAAAACACAATCTTAGAACCCATCGGCTCTAATGCCAATTTAGCCTCTGGGGAACCTGAAATCTTGGCCGTTATATCCAGAAAATGGATAATAGATATCCAGGCCAAGACTTCCTCTTCCTTGCGCCAAAAGTGTACTAGATAGCTAGCTAGCTAACCTATTTAACCTATCGAACAGAAACTAACTCATTCATTCACATGACGCAGCATCAGGAGCAATTTGGGGTTCAATATCTTGCTCAAGGATACTTAGTGGACGACATGCTCTACCTCTGTGCCACAGCCACCCCTTAAGTACTGGCTGGTGGTGGTGGTAATAATTCCTCATATTGTATTCATCTTGTAAAATACTGATTTGAGTGTACCACACTAATGTTCCTATCAGGGTCCAAGGGTTAAACTCCTTTACCATGGAATGGTGTATGGGGAGAAGAGGAAAAAAAAAAAATAAAAAAAAAAAAGAATTCTCCCCCATAAATTTTTTTTTTTTTTTTAAAAAAAAAAAAAAAAAAATTTAAGGAAAAAAAATTTTTTTTTTAAAAAAAAAAAAAAAAAAAAAAAAAGCTTACCTAATATTGATTTAATACTGGTACAAAACATTTCAGAAATCCAAATAAAGTGGACACATTACTAAATCAACCCACCAGGCAAAGCTACCTGAACCTACAAATGTAGCTTCATTAGCTGCAGCTATGTTTGTAGGGACATCTTGTTAATGTTTAAGCAGAGAACGGACTGTAGTCTTCATCGATCCATCAAATCCACTGACTCTCACCCTCGTATCAGTGGAGGAATGCAGTGGGGATGGGGTTAACTGGGTGTCACCTCTGCATCTGCTCTTAGCTGCAGGTGACATGACATGAGATAAATACAGCTTGGTAAGGTATAGGCCTTAACACACTAATGTTTATTCATTAGGATCTGAGATCATTTCAGTTTGACCCTGTGTACTCGCTGATTGATCTCTACTGTTTCTTGCTGTTGGGGTCAAATCTTAGTCACTCTTTACTGCGTTACACCCTCATTACCAAATTAGTACATGGATGAGGCAATGCATTTTTACCTGCATACGTAATTCACTTAGCAGATGTTATTGTCAGCTGGATAAGACCAAAACCACATGGACCATCACTGAGAAGTGTTGTCCTTCCTCTGCCTGGCTGTTCTGTTCTTATGCATATTTGTAGAGTGTCAGGCTTGGGTCGGGTTAGGGTTTGGTTATTTTCAAATGCAATTTATTTAGAATTTCATCCATATGTCATGTGTTGCAAGTTGCAAGTAGATATCCAATGCCCAGTGTGAAGAGAGAGAGAAACAGGGGGTCACAAAAGCATTGCATTACACTGGCGTCTAGCCTCTGCTGTTGGGTCAGGTTTGGGTATAAAATATTGCAGTACCAACGTATTCAGTCATGCCAATCAATTTTAGACCCATAAAAAATATGTTTCATATCTGAATAATGTTTCTAAAGGGACATTTTGAAACAAAGACACCATCTTCCCCACATGTGATCTGTATCTGAATATCTTATCTGGATCAGAAAGATGCACAGTAATGCAGGTGTAAATGTACGCAGAACATATGTGGTCAGAGGGCGGCTGTGGCTCAGAGGCAGAGCAGTCGTTCCCCAATCGGAAGGCTTTGGGTTTGATCCCCGGCTCCTGGTGCCACATGTCGAAGCATCCTTGAGCTAGATTCTGAACCCCCTATTTGCTCCCAATGCTGTGCATCGGTGTGTGAATGTGAATGTGAATGAATGTTAGTTTCTGTTCGATGGACTTTGCCATCACTGAGTGAATGTGTGTGAATGTGGCATGTAGTGTAAAGGCACTTTGAGTGGTCGGAAGACTAGAAAGGCGCAGGTCCATTTAGCATTTACTATCTAAATCCATGTCGACCTCTACTATTAGTGTAGTTGTTGCTACTGTCTTTCTCTCTCTCTCTCTCTCTCTCTCTCACCCCAACTGGTCGAGACCTAGAGCCCTAGGTTTCTGCCTTTTAACAGGCAGTTTTTCCTTGCCCTTGTCACCAAGGTCTTGCTCATGGTGGTACTGTTGGGTCTCTGTAAATAATGTTATAAGGAGTTCGGTCTAGACCTGCTCTATTTGAAAAGTGTCCTGAGATAACTTCTGTTATGAATTAGCGCTATACAAATAAAATTGAATTGAATTGAATTGAATACCTTGTATCTCAAGCTGCCCATCAAAATCCTATCCGATGAGCTCTTCCTCTGCAAAGGAAAAAGAAGTTGAGGCTTTCAAAGGACCACAACTACGTGCAAGTATAGGGTTACGTGTTGGCGCCACTGCTGCGCCGATGGACTGGCTTTTCGCACAGGACTACTGCCAATCTACAGCCTATCAACATTAACCTATAGGAAGGCAGGCTACCAAAAAGTAATCTTTGAATGCCTATTGCTGTCTCACATGGCCCTCAACTCGCAGGTTAAAGTGATCTGACAAGAGTATCCCACATCACTGCCTCTGACTGAAAAGTTTCCCTGTTCCACACACCTAATTTGCATTTTGATCAAAATATGGGCAGAATGGAGACACCAGGAACAGTCTGGTCTCAATTTCAACTCATTAAATACTCCTGCTCTGCTTCAAAATATCACACCGTAGGTACCCCTTAGAATTATTTCTGGTTGGGTTCCAGCCCTAAGCATCATTTAGGGATGTGTCCACCATTATATCATGACAGTACAACATAAGACAAATAATCTGTGAAAAAATCAGGTTCTTCGGGCTCATTGTAGTGCTCCTAATGGCATGTGTAAGAATCTACCGACCCTGAACAAAAACAGCCAAACAAGCCAAGTCTTTTGGTTGGAGGCTTGAAGATGTCATGGGAAAAGATAGAACTCAACACTATACTGTTGATTTCCTAATGTGAACATGGAAACAAACACACACCATTGTTTGAGGTCACACTCTTGGCTGGTTGTTTCCAGTTGATAGCAGCCTTTCCTTTCATGGTTGAGAGGTCATGGCCGTCAGCACAGATGTTGAATGACACCGCTTCTTTCCAGCAGGGGGATGGAAAGAAAGAATGACCCTGGCAGTCCTCAGAAAACTTCAAATTAGGAAAAGGACTACAATTCCTTCACATTTGACATTCAAGTGCTTTCAATTCTTGTGAATTTACAAGCTAACACGGCCCATGTACAGACTGTCAATAGCCCTGCAGCAAAACAACGAGAGGTTGCAGAAGCATGGGCGTGTTGCTACAGGTATTAAAGGGGAGAAGATTAAACATGAACATGGATGTTAAGATTATCAGACATGAAGCAATCATCTGAAAAAGCCAGTGCTGCTGAAACCAAAACAGGAGAACAGAAAAATGTTTCCTGCATTCTGGTGACTTTTAATAATAATAAGTACAGTACACTGCAGCAGCATTTTTATGTTAAATACTTTTCATTTTACTTTTGCAAGAACAGTAGACTTCTAGAATTGTGGGGCATACGGCTGAAATACATGGAGCACAGCAATCAACTGAACTTCCAAACATGGTGTTTGTGTAAAAAACCTGTTATACATGTACAGTAAAAATCTGTCATAAATCAGGGAGAAATACAAGAAAACTGTGATCCTGTGAGGAAACTAGGAGAGTGTCCTGGGAAAATTATGAGGGTTGGCAAGTATGCCCAGTATACAGTCATGTGATTAACCTTGATAAAACAAAAAATGAAAAAGGAGCCTAAAAAGACACAAGAGTATATCAGACCCGTTGTAACATGACGCCCGTCTCTCAAAATGCACAGCGGCACTACCAGAATGCATTGCATTGCAATTCATAGCTAATGAATAAGTGTGGTAATGACTGATCCTGTGCACATGTACCATTAAAGGAGCATGCCCTGATGATGTCATCCATCATGGTTATCTCTGAAGGACTCTGAAGACCTGCAAAGAAAAGACTGTCAAGTTGCATTATGGGAACTGTAGGATCTAGTGTTTCTAGAATTAACTACTGCTGCTTCTTCACCATTTGTCTTTCAATCTGTCAGTATACACATACAGTGGCAGTGCACATGAGCTGAGTCGCCATGTCTTGTTTGATCCCCTTTCTTTCTGTCAGTGGCCTAATCCACCGGGAGAGTCGTAGTATCACTGTAGCACACCTTACACTGACTGACACACACACACACACACACACACACACACACACACACACACACACACACACACACACACAGACACACACACACACACACACACACACACACACAGACACACACACACACACACACACACACACACACACACACACACACACACACATATAGTAGGACACTGTCGGGTCTGACTGGTTCAGCCAGTGTAGTCCTTGATGCCACACCCCCCCAAGCTACAAAGCAAATCACCCACCCACGCGCGCGCGCACACACACGCAGCCTACTAAGGGCGTGTCTATGTTGGTCTATGGATTTTATAGTATTAAATAATATATACCATTAGCCTATGCTGTACTCTTTCTGTCCCACTCTATAATGGTAACTCCAACTATATAGCCTAGCTATGTCTTTACTACACACATTAAGTGTACAAACACACTTTTGCTCTGAGAAGCAAAGCTTTTCCCCAATAGCACAAAGCTGTCACACCTTTTACATATGTGCATACAATATACTGTAGTGACACCATTTGCTAATACTTCAGAACATTCTATTTTAAAATGTCTTCACGCTTCTCAGTAGGTGTTTTGATACTGTAAATTTGCATTAAGTAATTAATAGTATGTGTTTGTTTAGCTGTGAATACCTGGGAGGTTCTCCGCGGGTTGGGGCTTGGCTCTGTGGCCCCGCCCTGTCCTGTGCTGTCAGGTCCACAGGTTGTGCGTGGAAACTAAGAGTGAATGTTCCAGCTGTTGAGTCCAGTGTGGTACAGTGTCTGTGGGAGGGGAAGCTCTGACACTGAGAAGGCTGTGTGGAATCTGACACACGATACATATACACAGCGGGAGCAGCGGACACACACACACACACACACACACACACTCCTGAGGCTCACCTGTCCTGTTGCGATTGTTTTGTCGTCGGAAGCCGCCGACAGGTGACCTGTCACCATGTTCAAGAAAAAGAAGTCCACCACTATAACGCAGCCGAAAGCAACGTAAGTTTCTTTTACAACTAACTATGGCGTCTACTGGACACACTTCAGCTGTTTTAAATAATACGTAACTCTTGTTGTGCCTGTAATGCCAAACTTCATTTAAAAAAGGCTCGTTTTTAAAGTGACCTTGCTTGGCGGTAAAGTCACATAAAGATAACGTTACTACCTGTAGGCTACTAACTACACAATCCTTCAGTCTGTCTTCATGTCGGGTGTAACCGTATCAGTTAAGTTTAATGTTATCTTACTTTCACCAAAATATACCGTAATGTGGAATAGTGTGGAAGGCATTTAAATGTATAAACAAATAAGCTTTAAATATGAACAAAAATTATGCTAGATAAATTATATGTATGCCGAATTAAACATCATACCATACGTATTCACAAAACACCTCATGTTTTATATAAATCGTGCTTTATTAGCGTACAGGCTAAGTCATTTTAATTTTGTAGTTTTTAAAAAAGGAGTATGGTCCGTATTCTGAACATCAAGAGAAGGCGGACCCTATCCTGGATTAACTTGTTTCATACAAACTGTTAAAGGTTTCCTGTTTGCCAAGTCAAACTGTACTTTTTGGTGCAAGATGGTTTTAATCCTCTAATGTGAATTATTTGGCTGTAATGTGATGAAATGAGTGGAAGTCCTGCATGAACTGAGGACAGAAATGACAGAAAATTGTCATTTAGATTGCATAATATGTGCTTTAACTCAAGTGAGGGTGTGGCTGATAGGCTGTGTAGTAAAGTTGCAGTAACTGGTTTGATAAGTATTCTGGCTGTCCTCCTTTAAAAGACAATGTGTGAGGAATTGCTTGCAGCCTCTCCCACAATATTACTGTGCCAAGCCCTTTCCCTATCACTTCTTTTCCACTGGGTTTGTGAGGTATCGGTCTAGTTTTCCACCCTGGAAATGATAAAGTGTATACAGTAAGAGGCCTGAAATGTATTAAATCATTATCCCTAACCCTGCTCATTTTCATTTTCAAGTGTCCCACCTTCAACCAGCTCTCTGAAGGAGGAATGGCTTTAAAGATAGCAGAGTGTAATGCTCCCTGTCACTCAGCATGCGTTGTGAGGGGGGTCAGGGGCCTCAAAAATAATACGCTTTTTTGTTGAGTTCTAAAAGGTACACTAATCTGTTTTTCAGATAGTGATCCTCCTGTGTAAGGTGTGTTCCTCCCACTGTCACACCTGCCATCAAGAGGAAAGGCCCCATAGTCTTTGTACTGCGCTGCTATGCACTGTCAGTCGATTTATTTAAAGGCACTTAGGTAAACAAGTCCATACCAAGCCTAACCATTGATTTATTGGTTTCTACTCATCAGTTGTCAATAAGAATGCCTAGAAAAGATAAGCCATTACTGTAATCACTGCTTAAAGGTGCAGAAAGATGATTGTTGAGTCTGGTGCCCCCAACCTGTGTGGAGTTTTCTATCCTGATTGAATAAAGTGGGAACGGGATACCTGAAAATAACTTTTTGCCGTATTTGCTGAAATCAGAGAGAGATATAAAAATGCTTTGGTTTCAAGACTTGAAGTTAATTAATTATTGAGTCTCAGTCAACAATCAACTATCTTTCTCAGCTCTGATTGGTTGTTTTCATTCAGGCCCGGTGGATTCTTGCAAATCCCATTAGTAGCACTAGGAGGAGCCAGAGGAACCTGGATTTTTCACAGATTATCTGTCTTATGTTCTACTGTCTACTGTGAAAGTTTCAGCAAATATGACAAAAATGATTTGTATTATAATTACCTACAGCAGCTTTAACACTTATTTGACCAGAAACAACAACTTCTGCACCCTGGTAACCCACCAACAGATAGAAGGAAGCCTGTAATGCAGCTTCACAGTCTAAATTCTCTTCATGCCGCTCCTCTGGTTCTGGTTGTAGTTGGTGCGTGTAAAAAATATAAAAGAAAGAAAGCTGTGATCTCAGGTATCTGGCAAGCTGTCAGTGTGGGCCAGGCTAATGACAGCTTCAAGTTGAAGCCCGAGAATCCAAAGGCAACTGGATCACCAAAGCCTCGGTGCTGGGGATTAGTGCTTACCTTTGCATCCAAACAGGAATGAGGTAAATGCTATAGTTTAGGCTTGTGACAAGTTTTGCTCTTCAGATCTTTGTGTAGAAAGCTGAGTATAAAACAGGCACTGTAAGTTTTGGAATATAATTCCTCTCCTTATCTAGACATGGATTACTGAACAGCTCTACTGTGCACAGGCTCAGGGGGGCCTAGTCTTGCTGTTATGTAAGTTCTGTTAAATGTCTGTGCCCAGGGGCATATTGTCTCATAATCTGTCCATCATTGGCAGAATATGCATTGAGATGTAGTTGATTTAGTTGTCAGGTATTATATTAATCGATCAATTGTTTTGAGTCATTCTTTCAGAAGAAATGTCCAAATTCTCTCGTTTCATCTTCTCAGATGTGTATATTTTCTGCTTTCTTTAGTCTTCTATGATAGTAAACTGAAAATCTTTGGGTTGTGGACAAAACAAGACATTTGAGGACGTCACCTTGGGCTTTGGAAAACACTGATCAACATTTTCAACAACTAACTAATCATTTAATAGAGAAAATTATCAATAATGAAAACAATCCTGAGTTGCAGCCCTCGATAGAGCAGGCAGCTGAGACGGAGCAGGGCTCAGGGTTTTCTGTGACACTCACTGACGGCAGCAGCCCTCCACACCCCTCTATGACTTAGCACTGGAGCTTTCTTTTATTGGCTTTTTTATTATTATTGTTATTAGATAGTGACAGCTGTAGATTGACAGGAAAGGTTGGTAGAGAGAGGGGATGACACGCAGCAAAGGGCCGTAGGTCGGATTCAAACCCGGGCCGCTGCAGCAACTCCGTACATGGGTTGCCAGCTCTACTGACTGAGCTAACCGGGCGCCCAGCACTGGAGCTTTCTGGTTCTAATTTGACCCTCTCCCCTGTGGAAACATCTGAGTTGTGTTTCTTGAGCTGACGCTCCAGTGCCAGTTCCTTCCCAGAACCAACATAACCACACTTAAAAACATTGAATTTGAGCCAGTGAGCCTCCCTGGAAACTATTGACAACATGTTTGGATACAAAACACGCAGTAGAGCAGGTAGAATTATTGTAGCATTGTTCTCAAGCAGTATTCTGAGAGTCAAGACAAATAACTGTTTCTAGTTGTGTAAGGGTGTTCACTTTAAACACAGTGGGACTGAACTCCCAAAAGAACAAGGCAGGGCTTGTTTTCATCTGTTCTGAATTTTAGAACAAAAACATGTCTTGCATTGAAAATGATGAATTTTCCTACACATGTTCTGTACACACCAGTGGTTTTAATCTTATAAAAAGCATGCAAAGAAACTGTGTTTATGCCTTGCATTTAACAAGCCAGTGTTCTTTTTGTCCTCATGCATTGAGTCTTGTAGCAACAATCCAAATACATGTTATTTAGAAGACATATATAAAGAAGTGTGCTGCAGTGAGAAACGAGAAACTGTTTTGATATCACAAGCTTGTGTTCTAACATGACGTGAAACCCCCTCAGGGTGTTTTTCATTCAGATGGGCCTCCGCAGTGAAACTGTGAGCTGTTTCTGCAGAACTCTGCAGTATACACCAGTTCAAACTTGCTCTGACTGACTGCTAGTTAAATTTAAAAACCATCAGGGGCTTTGAAATTAAAGTCGGTGTCCAGCGCGTTCAGCAGGGGTTATGTTACTTGTGTACAAATGGTAAAGGGGTGTGGACATGAGCGTGTGTGTGTGAGGAGATAGATGCTGGATTTAAAGTGAAAGACATGGACTCTTTTGGCTCTGCGTCTGTCACTGGCCCACACATCCACTCACACACGCACACACACATACAACAAAATCACGCTTTGACAATGAATATGTTTGTATTTGCCAATGTACTTCATCTGTAACATTAATGTTACATTTACTAGTATCAAGTGAAAGCATCATATGGGGGACATTCATGTCATGATTGTGACCAAAATACTTGCAGTTCACGATATTGATAATCATCAAAATATACTTAAAACTCTTAAAATGGCACTAAATACTGTAATAATATATCTTAAATAGTAATAGTAAAGTATATTTTTAGTACATCACAGATAGGACACCTCATATCCCTGTTGTTCTTTGGTTTGGATTAGGTTAGGATTTTGCATTAACCACAAAGATGCAGGCTCAACCAATTATTTTATTTTTTAAAAATCTCGAAATTGATGTAGTGATGACAGCTTTTTCATGTTAAGTCATGTGAGGATATTATCCAGTTGGTAAAATGATGTTCCTTTTTAATGATATGCAATATATAGTATATGGTCCCATTCCTGCATTCTGCAGCCTGTGTATTGGCAAGACCTTCCGATACAATACGTATCATAACATAACGCACCAGCAAATGCATCAAATCTGACTCCAAAAGTTTTTGTATGCAGATATGGTGACAGATATAGTTAATGTTTGAGCTGGAATTTAAACAGACCTTTTCTATGTGAATTGTGCAGTGATATGACTCAGAAGGCTGCTTTCTTAAACAAATACCTTTATTAATGGTGCATCAGGCACAGAGTGGTTGAAAGACTAGAAAGGCACTATATAAGTACAGTCAATTTACCATTTAAGACCATTAAAGAATATTTAACTTAAATATTCTTTAACATGTTAAATAATTGAACATATACATTGTCAACCAATTCTAGCTGACACTGCTGAGAGCTGCTTCTTCTCTCTCAC